CTCGGCGCTCGAGTGGCGCCGGCCCCGGTGCAGCAGCACAAAGTGCTCAGGCGGCCTCAGCCCCAGCCATGGGACACATGCCAGCGCTGGCGCCGGGTGCAAGGGCATCCCCGTCCCCTGGCGTGCCCCCGGACGCGCGGCCCTGCCCCAGGGCGCCCGGCGTGTGAGTGGCCCCACCCCTGGGCGCCCGGGACCCTCTAAAGGTTGGGGACCACTGGTCTACAGCATGAACCTATAAACGTTAGCGTATCGGTTAACTGGTTAATCGACTACACTAGTACATCCCTATCGCCAAGGCGCCAGTGTTCAAACAGGTCTAAGCGACTGGGCCTTTGGATCGAGTTTGATGAGCCAGGCTAAGGCTGCTACGGTTCCTCAATCCAAAATGTGGACTTGGGGCGAAAAGGGCTTTGCTGTGCGTTCCTGAGCACATCAGAGATGCCAGGATGCAGTTTAAGCCCTGAACTGGCCCTGCTGGGGAACCGAATTCGCCCCTCCGCACTCCGCGGTCTGCCTGAGGCTCTGCAGGCAGAAACCTGCTCTCCGTGCTAGTGTCACGCGCAGCAGGAGCGAAATAACTGAGCCCTGATCGGCCGTGAAGCTCTAAGCGGAGAGGAATGCTCTGTTGTCCTACGGGGCTGGGGCAACGTGGCCTTACTTTGACTAGCTTTCCTGCGTGGTTCCCCACCCACTTGAGCGGCTGAGAAATGAGACGCAGAGACAGGCCGGCCGCCAGAGGGAGCCCAGCTCCACCAGCACCTCTCCCGAGATGGATGGTGCAGCTCCGTGGAAGGAGCAAACAAAGCAAAAGCCGGTTTTGCTCACGCTGCATTGCTGCAAGGAGGGGGAGAAACCTAAAGAGGCTGCAGACTGAAAAGGGAGGCCAAAGCTGATGGGCGAGAGACATTTTTCAACGCTGCTTAAAGACTATTGCAAGAAGTGAAGAGCAACGAAAAGTGATGTGTTCACTAGTCTATAAGTCTGTGGCCTTTAACAGTTTGGAAGGGGGACGTGCTACTTCAGTGAGCTAAGCAAAGCCAGGTTGCATTGTCATTCTCGGAGCTGGATTGCTTTGCTTTACTGCTGCTTCAGTGAACTAAGCAAAGCCAGGTTGCATTGTCATTCTCGGAGCTGAATTGCTTTGCTTTACTCAGATCCTAACCACAGTAAGTTAGATGTACATTTTGGAAGGGACTGACCTTTTTGATTCGTGCAGACAACAGCAAAAGGCCAGCTCCTCTTGTCTCGGCATGTATCAGAGGGGTCGCTGTGTTAGTCTGAATCTGCAAAAACAACAAGTCCTGTGGCACCTAATAGACTTAACAGATTTAGTGGCGCATAAGCTTTCGTGGGCAAAGACCCACTTCGTCAGATTGCATGTGAAGCTTATGCACCAATAAATCTGTTAGTCTATAAGGTGCCACAGGACTTGTTGTTTTTGTCTAGGCATGTGTTGCGTGCTCCTCTTCACACAACACACAGCCAACCTGCGGAACTCCTTGCCAGAGGATGTTGTGAAGGTCAAAATGATAACGGGGTTCGAAAAAGAGCTAGATAAGTTCATGAAGATATGTCCATCAATGGCTACTAGCCAGGATGGGCAGGCGTGGTATCCCTAGCCTCTGTCAGAAGCTGGGAATGGGCGACAGAGGATGGATCACTTGATGATTGTCTGTTCTGTTCCCTTTCTCTGGGGTATCTGGCATTGGCTGCTGTCGGCAGACAGGACACGGGGCTAGATGGACCTTTGGTCTGACCCTGTGTGGCCGTTCTGATGTTCCTCATGGTACTATCCGAGCCCTTCTGCTTGATAGCTTCGGCTTGTTCCAACTGTGATACCGGATGGTTGCTGTGGGGGCACATTCCCTTGCGCCTTTCCAGCAGCCCTGCCATGAGACACTAGCGAGCCCGCACTTAGTAGCTGCTCCTGCCTACCCTGCGAAAACTGCTTGAGATTGTTCCCTTCAGTACAACCGAGGCAACCTAGAGAACTGCCGTCCTCCACTTGTGGGGACTTCATGGGCCATTGTCACCCAAGGAGGCCGGCAGGCCAGGCTCTTGTTAACGGGGAGAGCCCAGCACAGTCACTAACAGCTGTGACACAATAGGCAAAGATCACCGATGCCGCCAGGCTAAGTGGGGTTACAGGAGGTGTGTGCACAGCACAACCGTCCCAATAGAAAACACGGAAGGGATTGGGTGGTTCTTCCCCACGAGGCAGGCTGTGGATGGCGTTGTCTGAATGACTGAGCTGGGTGGGCCATCCCTGGGGAGTGGCATTTTGCCTACCCCCCACCCCCACGCCTACCTCTTTCCATGGCAACGCATGCTGTAGCCCTGTGACACTTAGGCCCGGCCCCCCGGGTCGAAGGGCAGCTCAGCCTTTGAAGCCCAAGCAGTCCTTGGCCTCAAAGATCAGAGGCAAAGGGGCCAGTTTGTGCTGGTGGCGGCAGTCGTCTTTTACCGTGGACACCTGTCCATTGGGAATTGGCTCGAAACTTAACAGCTCCGTACATACAAGTGCCACTGAATTGCCTCCAGCCAGGAGTGAGTTTGGGTCTTTATTTCGAACGTCTTTCCCCGCCTTGCCCCTCTGTGACTTCCCTTGCAGAGAATTTCGGCTGGGACTTGGGAAGGTGAGAGAGAAAGAGAGTCAAAATTCCATCAACCTGTGGAACTCCTTGCCAGAGGATGTGGTGGAGGCTAGGACTTGAACAGGAAGAGCTAGATAGATTCATGGAGGTGAGGTCCATCAATGGTTTAGCCAGGATGGGTAGGAATGGTGCCCCTAGGAGGGATCACTTGAGGATTACCTGTTGTGTTCCCTCCTTCTGGGGCACCTGGCATTGGCCACTGTCTGCAGACAGGATTCTGGGCTAGATGGACTATTGATCTGACCCAGTCTGGTCGTTCTGATGTTCAGTGCTGGGAAATCCCCACCCTGGAGTGTTTGATCTCTGGTCCAGAAGGGCTGCTCAGCCTGGTGGGGCGGTGGGGTGAGGGGGAGTTCTTTAGGCACTGATAGGCAGCACCAGTTGTGCTTGGGCTACCTGGTCTGCTGAATCTAGGGTTTGCAGGCATGAAAGAGGTGACGGGACAGAGCCTCCAAGTGCTCTCCCTAGCACGGCCCCTGGCTGGGAGGCTACAAGGTGGATGAGTTGGAGCCCATGCCAGGGTCTTTTCTGTGCTGAACGCTTGGAATGTCTGAGCCTGCTTGGGGCTGGGAGGCTGCGGCCAGGAGCTGTTCACAGAACTTGGAAGGGCTCCTGCTCCCCGAGAGAAGCACTTTGTTTTATTAATTACATGATTGGGGGGATTAGCGGGGGAGGAACAGGCTTTGTTTCCAGCAGGCCAGGGCCGGCGAGGGCCGGGCTGAAAACTGGAGCAGTAATTCAGCGTGACAAGCCCAACGTGGGAAAGCCGCCTGCTACGTGAGCAGATCCCCTAATGAAACCAGAGCCCTGTCGCCTCTGGGGGTCTGGGGCTGCCCCCTAGAGCTGGGGATGGGCAGGATGAAAACACCAGCTCCGACCTGGGGAGACAATAGCTAATCCCATGTCCCTGGGGGAATCTTGGCGGGAGGTGGGGCTGTCAGAATTAACCCTTCGCACGCTGGCGTTTTTAGACCAGAACAGCATTTTCCGTACTAGGCGCTCAGAATACTTGGCAAACAAACACTCTTTGTCAGCCCCGCCCCCTCCAAGTGAGAGGGAAGGGACCCCCCCCCACATTTCAGACGGGGACACTGAGGCACAGAGAAGTGATGTGACTTGTTCAGGATCACCCAGCAAGAGGGGTAGAGAAAACAGGCCACAGGAGTCCTGATTCTAGGTCCCTTGCTTGAACCACACCCCCTCCCGTCAGCCCTCCAGTCTGCTCTGCTATCCAGGGACACTCATGCCCTCAGCAGTGGAAGGGTAAAACAAGAACCGGAAGCTAATTTGGGACAAACTCTTGAAGCCAAATTGGGTGGGGAGAGCTGGGTGGGGAGAGCTTTCCTGGAGCCCGGCCAGAGTCAGCAAGGTGCATGGCCCAAGCAGTGGGATTGGACCAGAGGGTG